AAATTTGATTTGGTTGTAAAAAAATTGCATTCATATAAAAGTAACTAAAGCAGGAGATCTAATTTTGGAAGTATGGTACGTTATTAGCAAGTCAGAAAGAGCTTTTCCCACTGCATTGTCCATTCAAATCCTTGTAAATTTGGAACTGCTGCATATTCCTTTTTCATTAAGCGAGTTACAAATTCCATTTTTAAAAAGTTTAAAAGCATGATTCTAACATGTGGATTCTATTCTGTCAAACATCTGTTTCTTGTTGAAAGATTTTGAAAGCCATTCCATAATTTTAATAGATTATATTTTGACAGATTTGTTTTAATAGATTTCTTAGGATGATTTGTTTTGAGTATTCAATATGTTTGACTGTGTTGTAGTTTACTTTAGTTTTAGGGCTTTAAAAATTCTAAGAATCTAATTTCCTCTGTCAATTTAGCCATTGCTTTAGCTTGAGATAGTTCATAAATTGCAGATGTAGCAGTACTAAATTTCTTTTGACAGTTCAGTCCTTGAATCAGATTGTAAACCTTGGTTTTGTTCTCCTTCTGTGCAAATCTAGCAACAGCTGTGACCTTGGCAATGCTTCCAAATTCTGTTTTCAAGTATGTTCAGGGTTATACCACAGTTGGCAGCTCTTCTTAGCTTTTTCTCATCAGCGATACTTTGACTAACAGTAACATGTGAAAATGATCTGCTAGAAAGGGGGATATCCCAAATTCAAGGAATTTTATCCAGGATATATATTTATTTCTACCCTGTTTTTCAATTGTAGAACCACAGTAGGCTTACTTAGATTTGAAAATAAATTCTTATAGTATATATAAGCTTTTAATGTTAGAATCAAAACACAATTTCATGGTTTCCAATTATTACTGGACTGAAGGATATGACTAACAGATTAGCCAGTTGCTTCAGATTTCAGAATATTTCATCATCTTATTTGAATGAAGCCATTCATTTTAAAACTAGAATTTATCTCCAACATTGATATTTGGCTTTTCCTTGACTTTACCAGCAACTTGGAAAATATCTGTTTTAGATTCCAAAAAAACTTTTTAAAGGCCCTGATCTTTCCGAAATGTAGAAAGATTGCAGATTGCAGTAATCTCAAAGTTACTTATCATGGAAAAAATATTCTCAGCTAACAGCCATCATTAAGTTCCATAAGATAATTCTGCTTTGGCATAATTGTTGCAAATGTCTTAAGACTCTTTCTATCTTAAGACTGATCTATTTTGTCCCCACCCTCCATGCTTTTACATTTTGCAGGATATGTCTAGGGAGGATCTCATTCATCCAGGTCATGGTTTTTCCAAAGGTGTTTTCATTTTAAAGGCAACTGAACTTTCTGACTTTCTGATCAGGAAGTCCCATTGCCTTTAAAATAAAAGCTTCTTTGGTAAATACCAGGATACCATACACTAACAGGAACCAATTTTAGCTGACTACTGTGTCAGGAGGGATACTTTGGGAGGTGGAGAAGGAGGGAGAAGATAGTCACTCCATATAGTGAGACCGCCTCCTGCCGATTACCTCCCTTCAACCTATTAGATCGCACAGATTAGGCCTCCTCCGAGTTCCATCCGCCAGTCAGTGCC